TCTTTATACACATATGTATATAACATAAAACTGTGGGAAGATGGTATTCATGTACTAAAAGAGGCACCTCTCCCTTTAAAATACATTAAAACAATTAATTTTGGTTCATTCTCTCAGTACAGAACGTTATGTTGTTGATGAAGAATAAGCCACAACACCAGTTTTGGTTAATCCAGACAACAGCCAACAACCTGTATACCATGGTTTCAGGCTATGGCCCTCATCAGTACAGGGACGGCTTCTATTTCATAACATCCTACGAGGGGAATATACTTGTAACGTAGAAAAAAATTGAAAAGCTTAGCCTCAATATATATTGTATCGAAATATTAATTTTCATATTTACATATCACGCTACTCTGTATACTTCCCTTATATTTTATCAATTTCAGTTTGTACTTGTGTCTCAAATATAATTGCTGTGTCATCCTGAAGTTTGTCTTTCCTAATTCTCTACGTGACAATATTATAAAATGTTGGAATAAAACGTATTAATTAATATTGAAAAAGATTATTTAAAGATACAAATGAAAGCGCATAACAATAGAAGATAAATTATGCAAATCTTTCGCTTTTCAACGGCGAAATTATATCTGAGAGTGAGCACGGGATTTTTTATTATTCTTGCTACCATTATTATTACTATTATTTTTTACTGTATATATTATCTACTATAGATAGAGTTTATCGATACTTAACTAAATACAAAATACAACTTTGCTTTATACCCCCTCAATACAATTTACCCTATTTACATATTTCCTATATATTTACATATTTGTCTAGTCTATATATGTAAATCGGTATTCGATATTTTTTTTCGGAGATCGGAAAAAATAATAAAGGATTTAAAGCTGAATTTGTTGCTCGTCGAGCTCTTTCAACAAAAGGGATTATACCCAAGGGAGCCCTCAGCCATTAAAAGCTTCCAACATCTGTGAGCTTTCTTTTTATATTTTTGACCATAAATTTCCTTTCAACATCGTCTGCTTTTGGAAGAGAAAATGGATCTGTGAAAGACATAAAGTTGTAATAATATTGAAACATTTGTTTTTTAAATAATTTATATATGTATTAAAGAGTACTCTTGTTTTTTATGAATCTTTAATGTTTTTTCTTCTAAAAAATAGTTAAATATTATTTATCTTGATATAATTTTTGTTTTTATCTGTTTTATATAGGCCTGACACTTGATCTTCTTATTCTGTAATAGGGATTACAGGTTCGCTATTAGCTCCGGTTCGTTTTAGCAAGATTATATTATATTAATATTGAAATTTTATACACCTACCTACATATTCTCATGTCCAGTAATGGCCGCAGCCTTGCAGAAAATTGGCATGGACCCAGAACAGAAGCTTTACACACCCAAGATAGAGAACATTACTGTGATAAAGATGTACGGAGACATCCGAGGCTCTTCATTGGACACAAAAACAACAGAAAATTGACATGGACCCAGAACAGCAGCTTTACACACCCAAGATAGAGAACGACTGCTGTGATAGAGATATACGGAGACATTTGAGGCTCTTCATTGGACACAACAACAACAACAGAAAATTGACATGGACCCAGAACAGCAGCTTTACACACCCAAGATAGTGGAGATTGCTGTGATAGAGATGTATGGATATATCTGAGGCTCTTCATTGGACACGACAACAACAGAAAATTGACATGGACCCAACAGAACAGCAGCTTTACACACCCAAGATAGAGAACGACTGCTGTGATAGAGATGTATGGAGACATCTGAGGCTCTTCATTGGACATGACAATATGGAAATTTGATTTATTCTTTATATAAAAGAATAAACAGAATTTATATAAGAGAATGATTGTACAAGCTTTCGGACAAGATGTCTTTCTACAGATGTTTTATTCTTTATATATTTATTGCGTTTTTTAAATATACTATTGGTGGCTTTTGTGTTTCGTATAAATTTAGAATATATTTTAGGAGACTTTTCTTCTTCTCCCCCCAAAAAAAAAGTTGATAATCGTGACTCAATTGAAGAGATTTGCTGCCATTCCAAAACAAAATTCTCTTTGAAGAAGTTCATCGAAATATTTTAAATAATTATTCAGTCTAAAATAAGTTCGCTCTAGAAAATAGTGAATCTCACTGTTTCTCATTTGCGTGATGGGACATTTCAATTATAAATACACAATGTGTCCATATAATAAATCAAACTGTCCTCTAACACCGCTAAAATTTACCATTACAGAATAAAAAGATCATCAAATTCCTATAACCCAAGAATACCGGTGATTTACACGTCTTCTATTCTACACGAGAATTTCTACAGTACCGTTCTATTCTGTGGCCCTACACTTCTACACTACATTACAGAGATTTGCACAGATAAATGGTATGTAAGATGACAAGAAATATCTTTGCATAGATTATTGGTATGTAATATGACAAGAAATATCTTTGCATAGATTATTGGTATGTAAGAAGGGGGATAGATTTGCATAGATGACTGGTGTGTAAGAAGGTGAATAGATTTGCATAAGTGACTGGTATATATGAAGGACAATATGTTTGCATATATGACTGATATGTAAGAAGGGGGCTAGATTTGCATAGCTGCGCAGATGGTGCGACTGAGGGATAGAAAAACCGGGTCGGTGTCCATGTCCCTCCTGCGCTGCGAGCGGCGCGTGCTGAGGGTGGCCACGGGCGGGGTGACGTTGGCGATCGTGCTGTGGACCATCGCCGTGTCCACGGACTGGTGGATCTACGTGGACGGACCCCCGGGCGGCATCTACATCAACGCCACGGACTCCCACTTCTACCACAGCCGCTCCGGACTCTGGCGGGTGTGCAGGGTGGAGGTCCCGGCCAATCACGGCTGGCAGCGAGGTCAGTCCGGTAACTACATTTCATTTCTCTATTTACATAACTATATAAACTAATTAAATAATCTTACCTAATCTGAACCACTAGCGCGGAGTGTGGGGAGGAGAGAGGTCGAATATATACCTCGAATTATAGCTGTGAGAGGTACTTGTCTTCAAGTAAACATTATTTGAAACTGTTTCTCCTTTGTTGTTGTTGTGTTCAATGAAGAGCCTCAGATGTCTCCATACATCTCTATCACAGCAGTTGTTCTCTATCTTGGGTATGTAAAGCTACTGTTCTGGGTCCATGTCAATTTTCTGTTGTTGTTGTTGTGTCCAATGAAGAGCCTCAGATGTATCCGTACATTTCTATCACAGCAGTCGTTCTGTATCTTGGGTGTGTAAAGCTGCTGTTCTGGGTCCATGTCAATTTTCTGTTGTTGTTGTTGTGTCCAATGAAGAGCCTCAGATGTATCCGTACATTTCTATCACAGCAGTCGTTCTCTATCTTGGGTATGTAAAGCTACTGTTCTGGGTCCATGTCAATTTTCTGTTGTTGTTGTTGTGTCCAATGAAGAGCCTCAGATGTATCCGTACATTTCTATCACAGCAGTCGTTCTGTATCTTGGGTGTGTAAAGCTGCTGTTCTGGGTCCATGTCAATTTTATGTTGTTGTGTCCAATGAAGAGCTCAGATGTCTCCGTACATATCACAGCAATGTTCTCTATCTTGGGTGTGTAAAGCTGCTGTTCTGGGTCCATGTCAATTTTCTATTGTTGTCGTGTTCAATGAAGAGCCTCAGATGTCTCCATACATCTCTATCACAGCAATGTTCTCTATCTTGGGTATGTTAAGCTGCTGTTCTGGGTCCATCTCAATTTTATGTTGTTGTGTCCAATGAAGAGCTCAGATGTCTCCGTACATATCACAGCAATGTTCTCTATCTTGGGTGTGTAAAGCTGCTGTTCTGGGTCCATGTCAATTTTCTATTGTTGTCGTGTTCAATGAAGAGCCTCAGATGTCTCCATACATCTCTATCACAGCAATGTTCTCTATCTTGGGTATTTTAAGCTGCTGTTCTGGGTCCATGTCAATTTTCTGTTGTTGTGTTCAATGAAGTGCCTCAGATGTCTCCTTACATCTCAATCACAGCAGTCATTCTCTATCTTGGGTGTGTAATGCTGCTGTTCTGGTTTACTCTTCATTGGAAAATGGATACCGTTGCCACGTTAGTCACCTTGGACCAGAATTTGGTAAAATATTCCAAGGATCCAGGGGGTACTAAGTGTGGTCAGACTTCTTCCCCCCACCCCTAAGTTTTTTTTCCCTTTAAAGATGGCAATAATGGGTTGTAGAAACATGAAAATAAAGTTTTGAAGGTTTGAAGTAAATCATTTTTACTGTCTCAATATTAGTTGGGATATTTGGAAGAGATAGAGGAGGAAAAGGAGGAGACAGGGATATGGAAGTAGCAAGAAATCATGGCACACCATGCACCCTCGGGACAGTCCTGTCTGGAGCGAATGTTAAATCCCATTCCCGTTAATCGTCGTTATAAAGACGTCCCGTAGGACGGGAAAATGGGAAGAAGACGCCGTCCAATATGTCATAGGAATGAACTAAGAGTCCCCGAGGACTCGAGTCCTCTAAATGAAAACATTCTTCTTGGACGCCCAGCCTCTCTGATTTACACACAGCTCCATCTATTGTTCCTCTGGAGAAGTTTTATCTTTCTCTCGTGACTAGAATATTGATCTCTCTCTCTCTTCATGGAATCACGCGAATTAGGATGATCATTAATGGAAATATGTAGATATTTACAGGCACGGAGAAGAAACTTAAGAAAGTGGAAAATCTTTGATGTCGCCGGTCATATACCTTTTTTTTTTTTTTAAGGAGACAGAGGCAATTTTTTTCATACTTGGTTATCTCGTGTGTCTTCAATAAAAGTTCACTGTATCAAATATAATAGAATATAATACACTGCGGTTTGTGATTGTAAAACAACACTTGAAGTTACACCGCATGAGTTTCTTTTCAATGAAAAATCAAAATTTATTTCAAGGTGAAATATTGACTATTTCTAACCTTTTTGGATGAGGTATGATAGGGTGAAATATGAAGAGTAATGATGAACGGAAAAATAAAAGTGTCAAGGGATGGGAATCGAACCCACAATGTTCCGCTTACCGGGCAGATGCCATGTCCACTAGGCTACCCTGGACGTATTTTTCCGTTCGTAAATAATACATAAAGTAACTTATAATAGTGTAACTTCAAGTGTCGTTTTACAATCACAAGCCGCAGTGTATTATATTGTATTATAAGTTACTTTATGTATTATTTATGAACGAAAAATACGTCCAGGGTAGCCTAGTGGACATGGCATCTGCCCGGTAAGCGGAACATTGTGGGTTCGATTCCCATCCCTTGACACTTTTATTTTTCCGTTCATCATTACTCTTCATATTTCACCCTTTCATACCTCATCCAAAAAGGTTAGAAATAGTCAATATTTCACCTTGAAATAAATTTTGATTTTTCATTGAAAAGAAACTCATGCGGTGTAACTTCAAGTGTTGTTTGTATCAAATATCTTTCAGAGTTATTGTCTGAATCCCGATATACATGCTATAAGGTAAAACTTCCTAATATTTTTACATCGCAGTAAGGACTATAGAAGTTTGTTTTAGGTTTTAAAGAAACACACAACACAACACATGCTTTAATCTTTCCATTTCTTATATGCAGTAATATAGATGGAAATTTTGCCGGGAGGAAATTGATTCAAAGAGACAAGGGTCGCCTCTCCCGTCAAAACAGACGTCTAAAACCAGACGCCATCTATTGACCGTCGCCGCAACTATTGGGGGTTTGCCAAAGCTGGTGTTGTGGCTTTGTCGCCGACCCGAGGCCGCTAGTTGCGGCAACGGTCAATAGATGGCGTCTGGTTTTAGACGTCTGTTTTGACGGGAGAGGCGACCCTTGTCTCTTTGGATACAGTAATATATACAATTTTCTTAAGCGAAAGAAGTTTTCCCACGCCATAAAAGAGTCCTCCGCTAGACAAGGACAAGATCAACCGCTCTCAGTTTAATATTGAGATAGAACTTATATATGCAACTCTTGGCAGATGCCAGACCTACCAGACCTGCAGGTCTGGGGGCCGGCCGCTGGTGAAGACCTCCCAGATGAGAAAAAAGCGACAGATCGCTGGACCCCACAGGCGACGTAGGACTGAGGCCGGGTGAGCTGGATGGAGCAAGGCGTACTGGTATTACATACTGAGCCTTCCGTCTAATTTCCATACTGGCCAACTTCTCACCCAAATCTTACCAAAGATGACGCGCGTTAGAAGAAATATAGCTACATGGTTGAGCCTCTGTTTGCAATGTGTTATGCAACTATGCGGAACTACCTCCCTGTAAAAGACAAACACCTAGTTGCAGATCCAAGGTTGTCCTTCAGTGAGAGGTGTCCTCTTACAAGACAGCTGTTAATTAGTGAAAATAGTCATTTTGGCGATGGAAACTATTCTCTTTAAATAGGTTTCCTCTAGCGTGAGTTTCCTCTGAGGTTATACTGTATATGCAAATGTGTTCCACTATGCAAATATAGAATGTGTATGTGTTCAGAGAGCTGCCATTACCATCGGATGTTCCCGTCGACAGAAGACATCTCCCAGGATCCAGAAATCGACACTACAAGCTTAGGTAAACCTCACTACCACTACACGGCCCGACAGCATATTTGCATACTCTCAGTCGTATATGCGACGAGACCTTTTAAACTAATTAAACATAAAAATATGTCGATGTCATGGTAATTTGCCCCATTATATAATTATAAGGAGATCAAACCTCAGATCCCCCTACAATACACTCATGAACAAAGATTAAGGAAGTGAAAAGTTTTTGATGTCGCTGGTCGTATGTTTTTTTTTTTAAGGAGTCAGAGGCGATTTTCTTCACACTTGGTTATCTCGTGTGTCTTCAATAAAGTTCACTGTGTATCAAATAACTTTCAGAGTTGCCGTCTGAATCCCGATATACATGCTAAAAGATGCAACCTCCTTCAGTGTTTTGTCTCCATGAGTGTATAGCTCGGCGTTATGTGCCCCAGACCACACCAGGTCCGCCATGGCTTTCTCCCTCATCAGCCTCAGTCTGATGCTCATGGCTCTGGGGTTCAGCGCCTACACCTTCAAGGAACCTCGGTACATGTTCAAACGGCTGGCTGCAGGCGTTCACTTCCTCGCAGGTAGATCCTTGTTGCATATTTACCTACCACTGTTGTATATTTACCTACTATTTTTTTGCATATTTACCTACCATTGTTGCATATTTACCTACCATTGTTGCATATTCACCTATCATTGTTGCATATTTACCTACCATTGTTGCACATCCACCTATCATTGTTGCATATTTACCTATCATTGTTACATATATTTACCGGATAGTTTTAAAACTCAGCCAACAGAAACCCGCCAGCAAACTGAGAGAGAGAGTGGCGGGTTGAGGTTTCGTTGCAAAATTAAATTAATTATAAACCCATTTTATAAGCTGGAGGCTAATTTAATATGCAAATTAATTGGATTAGAAGAGAGGTAGATTGTTAATTGTGGTTAAACTCTAGCAGGCGTGGTTCGGTGAGTTTTAACTATCCATCTAATTTGTTAATACATTTAACAGGGTTTTTTTTACGTTTGAATTTTACTAAAAATGGAAGAGTGAAATATATATTAACTGTACCAATTATAAAGTGTTTTTGCCGTCTGCTCCGGAGTTACTAAACAATAAGTAGCGTTCTATATACCAGAATGTTTCTCATTTTTACGCTTCTTTGGACAAACTGATTTTAATTTTTTAAATATTACTCATTATACTGAATTTTCAAATCTATATAAACTTTTCATCATCGATTTTTAATTCTTATTAATTAATTACCATTGTTTATTAATATGTTTTAAAATACCATCTAAATATACAGTAATACCTCGCTAAAACGAACTCCACTGGGACTGAAATATGGATTTACTATAGCCATAATTCACTATAGCCATGGATTCATTATAGCCATGGTTCACTACAGAAGAATAGAGATAGGCAAAAGACTTCGCTAAAAAACGTTTCCATCTTTGAAAAAGGCTACAGTGGGTCCTCGAAATTCAGGACATTCAACATTTTTTTAAGGATTAATAAGTCTACAACTCTTGAATTAAGGCATATATGTAATTTATTCAGTCGGACAATATGCATTTAAGTTATTTAGGAAATTAAAGCATTCAAACACGAATATTTCTTTTACACACAAAAGAAACTATAGATGAGGCGTTATTGGTTTTAATATTTATTTAGTTATTTATGAACATTGAAAGTCTCAAGCTCTACAAGTTGAAACCCTAATATGATTGAGTGAAGAGATAAGAAGATAAGCATTGAGAAAATTTCTACTTTATCTAGATCTAATTTCTATATATACCTCTCTCTATAAGTAGCAGGTATAATAACTATACATTTATTCATTGCGCTCCCTCTTTTTTAGATTTGTCATATATTTATTTATAAATTTTTCATTAGAAACGATTTTTTCATTCAAATTAACCTAGTGTTATTGAATTTTACGACCAAAAGATTTTTTTTAATATGCAAATTACGAAGCAGACGAAAATTTTAAAATCCCCGTGAGCAAAGGAGCGGCAAGATTTTTTTTTTAAATAAATAAATTTAAGAATAAACTTTTCACCGTCAGCAACTATCTTTTAATTAAATTTTAATACAGTCGCAGACAAAATTGCGTTTTTTTATTGAAATGTTTTATATTGATTTTAATATCGTGCTAATATATGCAATTAGGATAATTATAAATAAACAATCAACAAACTATTGTGGCAAAGAGATAATTTGTTCTATTTATTGTTAGTCTCTGTGAAAGTAATATTTCATTTAAATATACATATATCACATGTATCTTTCTCTTATATTTTAAATAATTGCTTTATTGAGATCGTAAATAAACATTATTTATTTACATGAATAATTGCCGAATAAATTTTCCACTATTTGCACTCTATTTTTACATTGTTCTCTGTGAATTTCATATTTTATTTATTTAGTTGCATTGTAAATGTGGTTTTGATTCTTTTGTTATTCGCGTATCATACAAAGAAGGTTTGCCTACAAAATTGAACATAGGTCTTCCTTCCTATTTGCATAAATATTTCTAAAACCATCCCATGTTTGCATACAAACATGTGATCGTGTATTTGATCGTGAACATTTTGTCTGGATTCCCTCTTTATTTACATAAGTTATTTGAGACATATCGGTATTACGGATGGTGAATATATTAGCATATATGGATTAAAAACATAAGTGTCTGATATTCCTTCATATTTGCATATGCGTCTCTAAAAAAAACGCAATCTTTGTATATGTGATTGAACATATTGGCACATGTGTCTGGCTTCCCTCTTTATTTTCATATATAACTGTGGACCTATTTGCATATGTTGTTTAAGACATATTGGCATAACAGATGGTCAATATATTAGCATATATGGCTAAGGATTAATACACATAAGTGTCTGATCTTCCATCATATTTGCATATGCGTCTCTGAAAAACCACGCTATCTTTGTATATTGGACTGGCTTATATGTGTTGTATATGTGACTGGCTTACCTCTTTATTTGCATATGTGACTGTGGGTATATTTGCATATGCGGGTTTTGACTTATTGGTGGTCCAGCCTGCACCATCCTGGTGGTCCAAGAAGTCCTCATCAACTCCGTCAAGTACGGAAAGTCCCACCTGCACAGTCTCCACCCCCCGGGGTCCATCTTCAGCTACGGGTCCAGCTTCCACATGGGCTGGTGTTGCTTCACCCTGCAGTTGCTGGCCGGGACATCCTTCCTGCTCTGTTCCCGCAAGAGGAAGGCGGACCTCGCGCCCACGGAGGAACTAGGGCAGCAGGATGAGCCGCAGATCCTCGGCAGGATTTGATCCTTTCACCGCTCCTCGACAGTCGTGGGAACTGTGTGCGCCAGGGTCAGTTTGCGGCGCACCTCTCCCCTTCTCTTACAAATCTTGAAACTTATAACCTTTAAACTATTTTTTTGACGCGTATGATTCTTTTTTAAATAAATAAATTCTCTCTACTGCTCTTACTGCAATGATAAAATAATGGGAAGGCCTGGCTCATTAGTGGTAAAAAAAAACTA